ATGCTGCTGTTGTTGTTTGTTTGTTTGTTGTTGTTTTTGTTGTTTGTTTGTTGTTTGTTTCTTGTTGTTGCCGCTGGTGGTGTGAGCGCGTGATCACCACGTTGATTGTAATTATATACGAAAGGTGGCAATACAAATCAGTTGAAATCTGACGCTTATCCTGCTCAGCCAATCAGTTGTGTGAGAACAATGTATATTTTTATTCAATAATTCAGCTACTTTTGTATTTAACTAATTGATTGATTTACACACACACACACAGACACACACAATGTTTTGGTTTTTTTTTGTCATAACAAAATAAGCTTATATATATTTCTAACATTCTTTTGCTAATTTGTAGCCACATTTGATTTATAGGAACTCTCAATTTATCTTTGCCTTTGATGGCTAATTTAAAGCCACACGAAATATATTTACGAATGGACAGAAAAATGTATAGCCTCCAACGAGCGAAATGCGCAGAGATACGTCACAACACGACCAAGACGTTTTACGTACTGAATGCACAACAGCAGCAACAGGCGAGCTGCGAGAGAGCCAGCCACTAAACAAACTTAGCGAGAGAGCAGTAGAACAAAATGCCGCTGCTGATATTTTCACTCGCTTGCTAGCACTCTCTCTCTCTCTGTCTCTGTGTCGTGTTTTGAAGAACTATAATGCAGTGTGCATGAGTGCGTTGGCGTCGCTGTGACGGAAACGTGTGGGTGACCAGAGAGAGAGCGAATGTGTGTGTGAGAGTCAAAGCGAATGAGAGAGAGAGAGAGATAGCGTGAGAAAGAGATTTACAAAAGAGCAGAGAAGCGAGAACGTGTTTTTCTTTTGGTCACGCTCACTAGTATATCAAGTTTTTGAGTGTACTGATTGTTTTACATGTGTGTGTGTATGCTGGAGTGTGTGTGTATTGGTGCACACGTTTAGTATCCAGATCTTTTATGCTACGCTAAGAGACTATCCCATATTTATTTGACATCTGCTAGATTTTTATGCTACATATTTATAAACTATAGCAATTTTTGCAATTGTGCTTTATAGATAAACATTAAAAATATTTTTGTGTTTTTAGGACGCTGTCCTGCCACATTTGGGCAACATTTCACCGCCACCTTTTCTTTGTGTTGCCAAAAGATTTGCGTGTCTCAAAATAAGATAGTCTGCACAAAGTTCAATTGTCGATCGTGCTGGTTTCGCTTATTATTACAGACTTATCTAGATAAAAAAAAAATTGAGACTGCCCGTTGCGGCTGCTGTCGTTGGATAATTGCCAGACCTTTTTTGTAAACGTTCCATTTAAACTACAGCTGGCTGGAAGAACATGCAAATAAAACGTATTTTTATTGAATTTTTTAGGGTAATGTTTGAGACGATCGCAGCCAGCATTTTCTACAGATACAGATACATTTCCTCATTGCTATCTGCAGTTGTCATTTCAGCATTTGTGCGATTTTTTTTCCGTCAAAATCATTACATTTAAGCACTTGCAGGTCAAACGGTGGTCGCTTAGGTAAATGGCCAAAACGCTTAGCGTTTAACAGGTAGTAATTTCAATATTTTTGGCATTAAAAACGCATTTGGCAATATTGCAAGCGAGGCGTCAGCGACCTGCGCTGAACTCGCGTTAAATTTATGACCACAAAGATAACCTTAAGCAGTCAAAAAGAAGAGGAGAAGAAAACCCCCTTTGAACATCTCCACCCACGATAAAAATAAGCAATTTGCTTTAATTTTTCGAGCTGCATTTTCAGGTTTACTGAGGGAAACTCCCTAAATGTTTAACTGCTGCTTTCAATCATTAAGAAATTAGTTATACACTCGCGCAGGGTATTCAAAATATGCCATGGAATATGGCTACATTTTTCAAATGTCGATCGAAAAACGAGTTTCGATATGAAACAGTTTCTTAATATTGTCTAAGATAAGCTCAGCAGATACGACTGTCAATATATTCTTATTAATTGGAAGAATACTCGGGAAACTTTGGTAGTTGTCCATAAAATGAAATAAACTCGATCTGCATATGCTAAACGAGAACTAATATACTGAAGTTTCCAGCTCTCATAGTCTCTGAGTGGTAAACCAATTGAAATGAAATCTTTATTAACTGCTTTTAAGAAAATGTAAATATATAATTATAGTTATAATCATTAAAATATTATATATAGGCAGTCAGAGTATGTCGACTAAACTAATAATTATAGTTATAATTATTAAAATATTAGATATAAGCAGTCAGAGTATGTCGACTTCGATGTGCTGCCGATTTATGTCTGAATTGTTCTTGCTGCTGTTTGGGCTTGGAGGTGCTGGTGGTTACCTGCGAGGTGTGATTTTTCAAGTGTAGGAGTCATGCGGCGCACAGTCGGGCACAAAGAAGGGGCACAAACTGTGCTCGCGTTGCGTTGCTGCGTTGCCTGCCTGTGGTGCTCCCCAGACATTGGAGATGCAGTTTGCTAGGGCATTACACTGACATACCCTACACAATGCACAGAGTGGGTTGTCTAACAGCCAACAATGGTTGTCATTTAAAAGTGGGTTATGGCCTGAACTGAATTGAACATAAATATGTTTTATACCTTAAAATTAAAAGTTTATATAAATATAATGTTTATAAATAATAAAAATAATAATATAATTTAATATAATACATTAAAATATATGTAATGGACATACATATAATACATTTACGATCGATTGATTTGCATATTTGTATAAATCTGTCCGCTCTTCACTCTTTTGTATGTCTGTCTGTATATTTTGGTACACATTTGCTATTTTCGTACTCATGTGCTATTTATTTATTCATGTACTATTTTGGTACTCGTGTACTATTGCAGTAAATGGAAGACTTGTGCAGATTACAGGGTACACTCTCGTTTAGTACTTTCGACAGCATCTGTCTGCTTGCCTTTAATTCTTTTAGCAGACGTGAATTCATTGTTGCCGTCTCTTTCTCTTGCACACACACACACACACTCTCACGCACACAAGCATACAGTTGTTTTCAGTTAGGCGTTTAGCTGGATTGTGACGAGCAGAGAGAGTGCACATATTTAGAGAGCAGAGAGTGAGAGAGAGCAGAGAGTGTAGAGAGGAGAGTGGAGTGCTGCAGTTCAATTGGATACATTGAAGAACAAAAGATGCTTGAAGAAAAAAAATGCTAGGCGCGAAATTTGTATTAACTATACTAATAATGCAAACGAAAGGATTCACTCAAATCTCATAAATTAGCACCTATCACAATGCAAAGTGCTTAAATTCAATAATAATAAAGAAAAACAACAAGAAAATCAAGAAGATGCGCAGAATAAACAACAAGCAGTGTATAATATTGTAGTTTTTCATGGAAGATTTTGAGTATTTCTGGGAACAAAAAAAGAAAAAAAGAAAAGATGAAACACATTTGTGTGTAAATCGGACAACGCTCCAGACAGAGTGGCGGGCCAAGTGTCTGTGTGTGAGAGTCTGTGTGTGTTTGTGTGTCTGTCTGGAACGAATCAACACAATTTAAAATGTACAATAGATACAGACTGAAGAAAGAAATAAAGAAAAAAGATCAGCAACAACAACATGCATGAGCAGCAGCAGGTCAATGCAACACGGCATGGCCAACAGATGTACGCAACACGCATTCAAAATACAACAACAACAAAATCAAAAATCAACTGAACATGGGTAAAAAGAAATCCAGAGAAAAACAAAACAAAACACAGAAAAAGAAGTTATTTCCAAAGGTTAGAAATGTCATTTAGAGTGTGACTGGGCATTAAATCAAAGTCAGCCGCAGCGTCTGAGAACAATGCATCCAATCTTCCTTGCTGGGAGCAACATCAACTCACAGATTACAAACACATAAGACACATGTATCTGTATCTATATCTGTATGTGTTTATGTATCTGTATCTGCATGGAAATTGTACACAAAATTTGTGTCAACGTGGGCGAGTTGCTGTTGTCGGTGTGTAAAAATAAGACTGAAAGCATTTCATGTTTCTCAGGCAACATTAAATTCCACAAATGCCGTTTTGCAATGTGAAAATATGTGGCAGAAAAGCAAAGACTTAAATTTACCATATATTCAAATTTTTTTTAAATAATTTTAAGGCATGAAAGTTTTAAGACAAGTTTAGTTGCAGTAAATCGATTTGTGATCATTCATAAATTTTTTTCAATACTGTTCACATTTCCTTGTAAAGTTATTATCTATCTTCACCCTCTCTTAGAAATCAGATACTACATGACTAGTATATATAAAAAGAAGTCTCTTTCCTTCGAAACACCATTATCTTATCAGTGTTTTCAGTAAGTTAACTGGGTGGATACCCAGTAAAAAACAAACCAATTTGGATCCCTGTATTACGCAATTGTAATTCAAATAGTATCAATAACATTATTGCATATATAATACTTATCACTTATCACGAAAAACATTAAATCATTGTTGTTTACCCGGCCCTGACATGTTCTATTTTTTATTAGTGACCACAACAACAAGTAATATTTTGTATGAAAATGAAAGCAGGGCAAAATATATAAAATTAAATTGAAATGTATCATATATATACACATATATATATTACTAATAAATACTACATTCTCGACAGTATAGAGGTCAGGTTTCCCCTCTACTATACATTATTTTACAGTTTTTATTCGATGTTTTTTAAATTCCCCTTTAGTATATTGTTCTGTTATTAAATTGTTTAATTTATAAAATGAATAGTTTTATGAATGTTCACAAAACAAAAACTTGCAAATAAATAAATAAAAAATGTTTATTTAAAAAAATAAAATAAAAAAGAAATGTAAACATCTCTCCCCGACGGGGAATTGAACCCCGGTCTCCCGCGTGACAGGCGGGGATACTAACCACTATACTATCGAGGATGTTATATGTGGACAATCCAAACGCATATTTAAGCAATGCCAAACACGTTTGTAGTTTGCTCACTGCTCTTTCATTCGTTTGTGTTCGCTCTCGCTGCACTCTCTTTTGCACTCACCACTTTTGATTTGCTTCTCGTGTGTGACTCTTGTCACTGCTCCGCTCAACAGAGCAGCAGCAGCGGCCGCCTCAACAACGGTGACGTCTTCGTCCGCTGATAAAACATAGGCGCTCAGCTCACCTGCAAAGTAATAGAAGAGCAAATTATATTAATGAACAGATGTACAATGGTTGGAAATAAGTATCCAATTACACTAACAAATTAAGCGTTATTTTCTTAAAGATCAACAATTTCAAGCGAATTAGCGTTGCTTGGGTTATATTGTCACAATTTGAACAGCTATTAAATATATATATAAAAAATCATTTTTCATTTTTTTCACTGCTCTTAATTATAATGTCATCATACAAAGTTCAAAATAAAAATCTTGTGCACAGTTTTTGCGAATTCACCAAGGGGAACAACAACATTCCTGATAAATTAACTAAAAATTCATAAACAAGCGCCAATCACTTGAATTAATAACAATTGCTTATAAGCCCCAGCGGGTCGGCTTATCAAATTTAATTGCCTGCAATGCATTTCAGTTGAAGAAGAGCCTCAAATCAAGAGTCTTTCAGTTTGTTTGCATGTTTGCGTGTGTCTCTCTCAAAATGTGTGTCGTCCAATGTTCAATTAAAAACCACTCTTTGGGTGGCACAAGCGCAAATAAAACATTTTTTTTTTCGCTACCAGTGGGTATTTTAATGTTGTGGCAAAGTTGGTAACGCCTGAAGAAAGACGTTTACAATCCCGTAAAGAATATATTTTCTTGATCAGCATTAACAGCAGAGTCGTTATAGCCAAAATCCGTCTGTCTGCATATTTCTATTCGAATTAGTCCCTCAGTTTTGAAGCTGGCTTAATGGAAATTTTGAATATATACGTTTTACTTTTGCTAAAGGCAACCGAATTGGATTACTATATCATATAGCTGACACAGGAATCATCGGTCCTTTTTATTCGTCAAGTTATTAAAACAAAACTTACTCAATATGCGTAATTTTGAGCTTATGCTTTTTACAAAAAATCATTAGCATCGTATTACTATATCAGATAGCTTCCAACAATCACTAAGCATATTTTTCAAAATAATCAAAACTAAACTCAACAGTTGTGCATTTAATTATGCTCTTAACATTTCAACAAAAAATCAGCATCAGTCTACTATATTATATAGTTTCCATATGAATAATCTATCGAAGATGTGTTTTTGTTTGAAAAGCTTTTTTGTTGAGCCTGATATGAAAACCAATCCAACTCAATATGTCTTATATCATATAGCTCCCACAGGAATAATTGTTCGGTTTCTTTTATTTCTTTTTATAATGCTCACAGGTAGATTGCAGTCTTCAAGGATATATAATCATCGGTGTGCCTGAGAAAGCGATTCTTTCTTGTTTCAATATAGATACGATTATCTTTACTTTGCGTGCTTCATCTTAACTCCATAAAAAGTATACTTAGTTACATATTAGTAGCTTTTACACCTAATAACTGCTGATAAGGCAAGTAAGCACAACAAAACAAAAAAAAAAAACTAAAAAACATTAGGGAATCAACGTATTAGAATTAGATAGAAGTTGTAGACCTTTAATTCGTTTATCAACTAAGCTGTTTATTTATTCCCATTCTTTTTTTTTTGGTCATAAAAACCATTTAATATTATTATATTTTTATTATTCTTTTTCTATTTCTATTCTAAAAACAATAAAAGAAGAAAACTGCTAATTACTAGAATAATGACTAGAATACTAATTTTAATTATTTGCCTCTACAGATAAGAAATGCAGGTTTCACACACTTTTGAGTAGACAGTTACATGAACCATTTATAAAAAGTCCCAGCCATTAGGCTGTAAATAATCGTTTTGCGTTCGGCGAGTGGAAAACACAAAAAAAATAATGCAATTTCCGAGAAACCAAACGCAACACAGAAACGTGACAGGCAGCGTTGCACAGTGGGTGCAGTAATAAGAGAGCAACAAACTTATATGGTTAAAACTACAAAACAAACAAAAAACATATAAAGCAACACGTCAAAGACAATAATTCATCAATATGCATATTGCGATGATATAGTTCACGTCGCTCTCATCGCATCAAACGATTCGCACTTGCATAGAAATAAAAGCAAATGCCGACTGCATGCCAAATTCAAATTGGCACATTGCCCGGCCAGCCATGTTAGCCATCCATTAGCCAAGTTAGCCAAGTCCTAATGAAGAACCTAGAAAACGTTTAGAACGTGCCCAATCAATATAATTCTACTAAATTATCTTGGCTGTTTCCAAGTATTCTACTAACTGGTTAAGCTGATTACATAACTCATCTCGTTCTCAGTCTTCTGATGGGAATTTCAAAAGCTAAAATTCGATGCAAAAGAAATATTAATTAGATAAATTCAAATTGATAGCTTTTTCTTAAATCAATTAATTACATACTTAAGTCATAATTTTGCTGAAAGCGTGAGCGAAAATCAACATGACAAATTTATTGTTTATATGCATTTGTAGATAGATGGATAGATAGATAGAGAAATATATACATTTATATGTATATAGATAGATCGATATACAGATAGATCGACTTATTATTAAACAGTGAATCCAGTGAAAATGATTAGAAAATGTATAATGAATATATTCAAACGTATTTAACAGATTTCTTGATCAGCAGCCAAGTTGATTTAGTCAAGTCCGTCTATCGGTCTGTATAAACAAGCTGATCTCAAAGACTAAACGAGTTGGAAGAAGTTCTCGTCTATTATTTTATTTTATCGATAATTCCGATTCTTCAATATCAATAATGATCATCTGCAAAATAACTTAATTAAGATCGCTCGAGAAACATGGAAGAAATACGTATAGATGTTTTTACCAAAAGAAACACGACTTAAAACAGTTGAAGCCTTGTTTTCACGGTAACTCATAGTCGAATACTCTCAACTCATACTTGGTAAAAATAGATGGATCAACTCGACATTTATATTGCCGGTAAATTGCAATTTTTGCAACATTTTAAATGGAATCGTTTAAAAATAGATCAAAGTGCATTTATATATATATATATATATATAAAATTTTTCTTTCCACTCGATTTAGATTTGAAAGACGGATACGAAAAATTATGCTTTGAACTGAAAGTAAGCCAGCGACGGCGAGCACAAATTAGAAGAAAAATGTGTGTAGCAAGTGAGGCATGCTGCAGAGAGGGCCGTCTTGGGATCCATTTGAAAAGAACTGGTGCAAAGCAGCCACATACAAATCTTGAACACACACACACACACACACGCATACTTATACGCTCCCCCGCACAACTGCAATAGTGAAAAAAGAGTGTGTAAATGAAATCAATTAAAATTCCACACACACACAACGAATTCACAAGAAGCCGGCCATGTTTACGTTTTGGCCTATGCGTTGAGCATGGCCTAATGAAGGCACGTCTGTCTGCCCACGCCGCATGGATGCGGCGGACGTCATCATCATCATCAACATGGTCATATAGGAGGCATATGCAAGTGGCTATCCGATCGACCCTCTGAACACGAACCGTTGCCACTTCAAATTTGTTTACAACACACAACACTTTTCGACTCTGGCTGTTCAACATTCGAATTCAAACCAAATGCAGACAGCACTTTAGCATTTTCAGCTTAATCATATCGAATGCAACACAATCCGGCATTAATTTTGATTTTGCTGCACGAACTGTAAACTCATCATACATTGCATAATAACAGAATCAATGGGCGGTTCTTCGTCAATATAGAGGAGGGAGGGAGTTCTGCAGGTGTTGGCAGTTCGACATATAAAGCTATAGATTACAGATTGTATGCATTGCAGAGACTAAACCCTTTACTCCTCAAGAGAAATTATAGCTATTGTTTTTGTAGTACTCCTACCGACTACAGAATACTCAGGTATCAGTTTAATCCCAACTGATATCAGATGGCAAAAAAGCTGCCTTCGTGTGTGGGGCAATGAGGAATAATTAATAATTTGGATTTATCAATGTGCATTTATCGATGTTATCGATTACCCAATAATCCAGTGAACGTAGCCAACCAATTATACAGTAAGTATGCCAATATTAGACCTCAGGCAATGTGGCATCAAAATTTGATGACTTTAGTTCTTATAATGTACAAAAAATGTACGTTTATCGATATGCATCTATCGATGTTATCGATTGCACAAATCGAAACTTTTTCTTGTTAAATAAAAATTTCAATATCCAACTTAAGAAACATACTCAAAAATATTGAACAGGTTTTTGTTAAGATCAGCTGACTTTATCATTTCTCTGAATAACAGCATTATTAACAAGTTGAGGTTACTCCATAGCAATAATACATCTTTATATATAAGTATATAGATCTTTATATATATTTAAGACACGTCGCAGCACAAAGCTTATTTTCCTTCTTTTTTTTGTGGCCACCCAAGAAATTCGTGTTGGGGCCGCGTGTAATCATAATTTATGTTGTACGTTTTTGTTTTTTCAAAATATTTTCCTATTTATTTGCTTGGCATCATCACTGTCAAAAGTCTGACTGACGTTTGATGTGTAATTGAAATGGCAGCGCATAATGATTTTCTGCTGTTTATATCTCTGTCTGCTATTTGTGCTGTAGTCGACCAAGTAAACATTTTGGGTGGTCCAACACAACGACATAGTGTGGCATGAATATATATATATATATATATACGAATATATATTTATATCTATATATATATACATATATATATATATATATATGTGTGTACACAGTTCTGAATTTCAAAAGCTAGACAGTGAAATAATTGAAGACTTCCGGTCAGTGGCAAGTGAATCGGGCGACAAAGATTCAACTGCGAGTTCTTTTTATTGGATAATGTCAACGAGACAACGGCTTGGTGAGCTTTGTGAGCTGTTGACACGGCAATTTAATAATGCACTGGATGCTGGGGTTGCTGATGCTGATCCCTGCTTAAAGTTTATATGTATTTATGTCAGCAGCTATGTCGGCAAGTAATTCAATCCGAGGCAAACAATAATGCAGACAACAGATACCCACAAAGAAAGAACTATCCTAGCTATCTTAGGCAAGCCGAAGACTACATACCCTTGCTGTATAGAAAAGTGGTCAAATTTTGA